AATAAAACATTTTCCGGACATGTAAAAAGTTTTTGTTAAATCTAATAAAGATAAGAGCAAGGTCTCACCTTTAATATTAAAAAAAAAAAAAAAAAATTTCTATAACAATACTGGTTTAATATAAATTATAGATATCACCATATAAAGTTGAGATAATAGAAACAGGCAAATATTTTTTAATAAGTTTTTTTAAAATTTCAAACAAAAATAACTTAACAAAACTTAATCAAATTCAATAAAATTTTTTTAAAATTAATTCAACAAGTTTGTAAAAATTATTTAAAAAAAATTTTATTAAATTTGATTAAGTTTTGATCATGTTTATAGTTATAAAAAAATTTTATTATAAAAAATTTGCTTGATTTTTATTGACTTTCCCTATATTATAATTTTATAAATTTATAGTTTATAGTAGATAATTAATAAAGTTAAATTATTTGAAACTAAAATAAATCATAATTATTAACAATTTACAAATTTTTTTTTAAAAAAAAATTAAAAACATATTACATAGTATTAGATAATTTAACAGTTTTATATTTTAAATCTTATTATTAAATAAATAATATTAATTTCAGTATTTGTACAGTACCAAATAGCAAAAAATATCCACTTTTTATATATAAAACATAAGATTGCCTAGTTTAAGCTACAATTATGTTAAGATAGATCTATATTTTTTTATAAAATTAAAAAGTTATTAAAGTTTATATACATATATATACTGTATAATATATAAACTACTTTAGCAAGTTATATGCTATATTGACAAAAAATTAATATTATAGTTAATTGGTAAAAAAAAAAAGAAAGTTTAGGCCATATAAAATTAGTTTTTTGGTTCTCATAACATAAAATTTTAAAATGACCCGGCAACCCGGCCTTTAGTTTTATTTTCAAAAAATTTTATATAAAATTTTTTACAAAAATTTTAAAAAGTTCACCCGGATAATAAATATGGTAAAAAAATTTTTCAAAATTTTGTTGAATTTGACCCGGCCGGGTTATGAGAACCAATTAATTAAGTTTGTATGGCCTTAAATAAATAAATTTCAATTAAATTATAGATATAACAACTATATAATATAAAACTTTAACCAAATTATTTAACTAAGTTACATATGTGACTTGTACTTTTATTTTTATACTAAACCTCTAAAAGCACCCTTGATTTTTAGGCCTAATAAAATCCTAGTTTTAAAAATATAACCTTTGAAAAAATGTTTAATATACATTTTTGTTCAATATTATTAAAAATAGTTGAATATGCTAAATAATGATAATAATACATGTATTTAGGCTAAAAACAGTTTTGTTATACTAATATGATTTGTACTATAAAAAACAAGTACTGTATACAGTATTTGAAAAGGAATAAAATAAAACATAAGTCCCAGGAAGCCATTTCCCCGAAAGGGCATAATGCCGATAAAGTTAACTGGCATTACAGCTGTTTCAAATTCTGGAATAACTGAAAATTTCTAATGACCGAATCGAGCCGGAATCAATAAGTAACCAACCGAACTCAAAATTATCAATTCGGTCATCAGAAAATTTTTCAGTTATTTCAGAATTTATGAAACAGCTATAACTATAATGCCGGCCGATTTGGTCGTTCTTTCGGGAAAATGTTTTTCGGAAAATCGTATCGTAGCCTTTAATTTCTATTAAGTCGTTTAGAGTTCAAAATTCATTTAACGTTAAGCGGATTAGAAACAACTTTAATTTGATTCTGAATCTACAGATATCCCATATCCACCTACAAATAATTTTTGAAGACTTCAAAGTTATTAAAAACACTATAATCTGTCAAGCATTTTTTCCAAACATTTTAGCCTTGCTCTGACAAGGTCAATTTGTAAAACTGGTTGATTTAAAAAAATAATAAAAAATAAAAATATTAACTTTGTACAACCTTATTTATTACAAAAACTTTCAGATAATTTTTTATAAAGCTTTTTAAAGTAAAAATAATCAACTTTGTATGGCCTAATGATAGCATTTATTAAAATTTAAGTATGTTTATATTTTTCTTGATGGCGAATGAAACGAATCTAGTGATACAGATCAAATTTTAATTACGTTTCCTGCTCTAACATTAATCTTAATAATTTCTTTCCTTAGGACAAGACCAGTGTTATGATAAAAAACACTGTTTTAAGAGGCTTACTATTAAATTTCTTCCAGTTATATATCTTAATTGTTTCTATATATATCAGTATATAATATATATAGTCTGAATATTCATTTGTGCAAATATTTGTACAAAATTTTTTCTTAGATGTCTCTTAGTATACCACACATTAGTATCTAAAGAGACAGGTAATGTCCAACGTTAACAAAGAGAAATATTCATTGATTTAGAGAAATAAAATACATAAGAAATTTAAAAACGTCAATGCTCTATATTTTCCATATCAATATCCACAACCGACGACATAATACTTCCAAGATTCTCAGAGATAACAGACCCAATTTCCGACCATGTTTCTTCTGTAGGAACAGATTTTAATAAGGAAGGTGACTGATCGGGAAACACATTAGATCCCATCAATTGTTGTTTTTGAAGTTGTTGTTCTGGCTCTTGAATCGCGTTGTGTGAACTTTGTTTAGAAGAGACAGTCGAATTAGAAGCTACCGAATAAGGAGCAGGCGGCTGAATTACGAATGCGGGATTAATGTCTGACATTTGTTGCTGCAAGCTGATGTGTGACAAGTCTTGTGTAAGGACTGCGTGTGCAAATGAGTCAGATAGAGAATTACTCTCTTCGTTTACAGAACTATTCGTCATTTTAGCACTAGGTGGGGCTGAATGCAAAGAATTAACATCGGGATTTCCGATTATCAATGGTTGATCGTGTTGGTCATCATCAAATCCGTTGGTGGAAGTGGAGGTTGTAGAATGGTTGGAATGTGTAGCACCAATAGGTGAATTTATACTCTGCCATAAATCAGAGTGTGAGCTTGAGCGACTAGAACGAGTAGATTGTGACAAATTTTGCCTTCTTTTTTCGATATCACGTTCTCTTTCACTAAGAATACGTTCTTCATTGGCTAATTGTTGTTTTTTACGTTCGATTTCTTGTTCTACTGCATTCAAATATGATAGCCTGTCCAGCAGTTCTTGCTCATCATCATCACTCTGATAAATAAAAGTGTCATTATTATATAAATGTAAGGATGCATAATCAAATCATTATACCAAACTTACATGACTTTTATTGCTTAAATTTCTTCGGAGTTTGTCTTTTGATCCCCTTTTTCTCCTCCTAATACCAGACTTTTCCTCAGAACCAACAAGAGACAAGCTTTCGTCTTCACTACTCTCGTAATCATTTGTTTGGCCATTATTCGCACGCCATTTAGTATCTTTACCAGCTCTTGGACCGTCAGTGAAAACATATTCATATTGTGGCACCTCCGTTAATTCTTTGTAAAGAATATATGCAGTATAGCAAACAACAGCGCCACCGACAAGTATGCTTGCAACAACGTAAGGGTGCATCATTTTGTTAAAAAAGTAGTTTACGATATTTGCAGACGAATAGAGAAAATATATAAAGAAAAAGAGAAAGAAGGCAAAACTACTAACAAATATGTAAAATCAGACGTTAATGAAAGTGCGAATGCGCAAATCGGTATGGTTGAAACAATTTTACAAGCCTCAAGTTGTGCTGATCTCGTGCCTGGAAAAAATCTCCGAATGATCAGATTGCCTTTTATATATAAAAAGGGGTTCATCCCGTACCACTACATCTAATTATCTAATAATTTGACTGACTTACCTCTAACCCTTTAGTGTACGTTATCAAATTATTATTTAATTAGACAAGGTGCAGTTACCCCAGGCGGCATATGATTTTTTTAAAAATATATACAGTAAAAACATGAAGAATCGCTCTTATGTATAAGTCATTTCTTTAAAATGGAATAACTCGTAAGAAAAGCGAGGCGTTGAAAAACAATCAATTATTGTAATTATATTTGTTATAATGCTGTAATGATAATAATAATACAAGTTCTGCAATCTTATTGGATAATATCAAATTTTGAAAATGAAAATTAATTTTATTTATGCAAAGAAATTCTTAAAAATGTTATCAATTACAACATCATATTTTATAGTAAATGCTATGATATATGCTGAAAATATTACAATGATTAATGAACCGGATTTTTTTTAGAATAACTATTATTATTATACGTGGTGACTAATGGATTCTCGTTAACTCTTCAACTATTTTCAATAGCTCATCTACTTTCATATCACATTCTTCAGCGATTTGCACCATTTCGCTTCTGGATCTATCAAGGAAAGACTCGATGAGATCGCCATCAATAAATCCTCGAGCTTCGTAAAGCTTTTTTCCCTTTCTCATACTGCGCCATCTAAACAGAGTACGTTTGGTGAGTTATAAGACGGTTTTTAATAATAAAGACAACATGCCAAACATACTCTTTGTGGCTCAAATCGCCAATACTGCCGATAACTTTATCTATGCTTTCTTCTAATTTTTTCAAGAATTTGAATTTTTGTTCTGGTATTGATGCGATAACACCAATAGCTCCAGATGACGTACAGTATAATAATTCTGAAGAAATCCCTACTGGTTCTGTTTCTGAAACATTCATCGCTAAAGAACCTGAAGTTTTGAGAAATCTGTTAATTAATGTTGATGGTTTTTCCAATGACAGAAAAAAAGTGTTTAAATTTTAACCATGTCGTATTTGATTAACTGAATCACCCAAATGAAAGAATCCATTTGTTTCCAACTTTCTCCTCTCATCTTCATCCGTCGTATCATCATTTTTCCGAAATGTGATGAAATCATAGTTTGTATCACTGGCAATAAACTCGTCATCATCAAAGGCCTCGACAGAAGAAATCCAATGAGGAATATTATCTTTGGCGATTACTTCGAGAGATTTGTTGTCCTTATCTGATTCTTTATATGCTAACAAACTAATAGATCTAAATAGATCACCAACCAAAACGAAATGCCCTCGTGAGACAACACGAAGTGCCAATGAAAAATCTTTATTACTACAAATTGGTATTAATTCTGCACTCCCATCTTCAGATGTTTTCCATTCAAAAACTGTGACCTATTATTAATAAAGTTAATGAAAGAATATCAAGGGAATTCGCAATGAAAAGTATTATATTAAATATGTAATTAACAATACCGTTCCATTAATGGAGGCTAACAACTTTCCACCGAACGGTCCGCATGAACATATTGCTCCTCTCATTTCTTTCTGGTGAATCAATCGTAATTTGCAGATCATTTCATTTCTTTCTACTTGGAAAACTAATATTCGACCTTTACTAGCATTATTTTCCCCATGAACAATAAATGAAGTTCCGACTACATAATATTCTGGAGAATCTTCTTTCACATCAAATTTTACTGAAGTCAAAGAATGAACATCTTCATTTGGTTGCATTTCAAATGAATCGTAAACTAAAATCAAGACATAAAATTGATAAGCAGTAAAAAAACAAAACCAAACAAAAAAAGTTATTAATCCTGAACTTTCAAATTAAATTAACTCACATTCAAATGTCTGATCGTCCAATATCTTAAAATACCTCAAATTTTCATCATCATCGCTCGAATTAAGTCTTATCGTTAATATTCCGAGTGTATGCGTGCTTTCTTGGTGGCATATACGACGGGGCATTTCATTTAATAATATTGTTCGGATATGAAGTTTTTGTATCTCATCAATACTGCCTATTGTCAATCCTCCTTCATGCGTGATTACCAAGGAGGTCGCCATGGATGCCGGCTTGAACGGACACATATATGTAACATCCTATTAAAAAGAAAACCAAAAAATATATTAGCGTTATATCCCTATATTTTTCATGAAATATAACAGTCTTGAAATAAGTAAGGACCTTGGTGTTGACATTAGAATATAGTAATTTTTTATTGCTGCTGTAAATAACTGTTGGTCTATCTGACGCAGCAAAAACGTGGCTCAATCCATTGGACGTAAAAGAGGTAAGCATAACGGGCTGAGTTCCCAACGACAGCTGTTTTCTTTCTGATAATCGTCCGGTTGTTGGATCAAGGATAAAATGAAACAACTGCCCGTCACCCAACGCCGCCAAGAGGTAATGATTGTTTTCGAAGGTGGATATAAGCACAGAACGAGTCATAGAAGCACCTTCAAGTGGCTGATCTGCGATGATCTCTAATGATGGTAATCTTAGCACTTGCACGCCAACCACGGTCCAAAGCCCTACGGCGACAATTGATGAACTTTCTGGGTGTATGGGATCTAATGGATTGATGCTCATACATGCTATCTCATATTGCAATTTCCTCTGGCTATGTAACATTTAATTTATACGTTGTTAATTTCGTAACATACATATAAAAGAATTTGACATAAACCTACTTTATCTCAACGAGTTCCATTCCTTGTACTTGAAAATAGATCAATATCCCACCACTGATCGCTATCACTACTTGGCTGGGATTAATATCAGCAACAGTAATCTTACTGTTATGCGGAGGGTCCCATTGAGAAATCAGTTTCCGATTATTTAAATCAATAAGCCTCACTTGATATTGAGTAACCTATAATGAAAGTATAATTTTACTCTCGATCGAAAATTGATTTATAGGAAACAGTCCGTATCAACACGCTCTTACTTGTACAAGTAAATTCCCAACAACGTTTCGTGTCGCAATAGTTGACTGACTCATGTCAAAGCCAGCGTATTCATCGACCTCCTGCAACTCTTCTCCTTCCTCTAGTCTTAGCACCCGTGTTTCACCAATGAGCGATATAACCAAACTGTCATCGCAACTGTGAAATGAATTCTTTCAGTTTTGTATTTTTTTTATTACGGATATACAACAATACAAATAACACAATAACACTTACGGAGAGTTGTAATATGGGCGTAAAGACCATACTCCTGTAATTCCGGGCATTTCCATCACAGCTTGTTCAGTAATTCCCACACCATTGCGAATGATTCGCAAAGAACCATCTTTAGTGCCACCAGAGCATGTAATGATATGCCCCTATATTGAGGTAATAATCAATCTAAGTCGAACTTCCAGAGAGTTACTTGTGCGGATGAAACAAACCTGTCCTTGTCGTTCCAGGTTTACTACGCAAAAATCTACTATAGGCGATAAGTTAATGAATGTATCAAGTACATCCAATAAGACTCCCTGTTCGTTCGGTGTTTGACGCAATCTAATTAATTGTGAATCGCCGAAATGTGACCCAACAAAAACGTAGCTATGATCAAGATATAGAAGACACTGTGGCACTGAGATCTGTGATATAAAATCGCAATAAGATTAACATTTATCTATAATCTAATAAGCGTAAAGCCACATAATAATTATAATTACCTTTCCCAGAGTATGTGTATATAAATCACCAATATCAGGAATTATAAGCAGGTAAAGCATTCCAAAGATATCACCCAGCAAATATCTGGATCCGTCGTCATCTACGGCGGCAACCCTAACAAATTTGATGCGATAAAATTAGGTTTATTTTTTTCTATGGAACAGTTACGTATTGCCCAAAATTATTTACATAAATTACCCTCTCATTGCCGTTTTATGTTTCAAGAGTATGGTCCGAGATTTGAAATTATTATCGTAATAGGTAATATGCTTTGATGCAACTGCCAAAAAGCCACCTAGAAAATTTTATCGATCATAATAACGTTAATATAACGAAAAGGACTATCTTCATTGTTTAATGCAATTTTTGTTCGCTTATTAGTCCGGCAATGATATAAAAGCTGTACGGTAGCAAGAACCAGATAATAAACTTTGTTACGCAATTTGTGGGTAACACTATGCATCCACTAACCTTTTGGAACAGCAATCAAAAACTCTGTGGTATCATCAAGCTCTTCCTTGAATAAAGGGCCAGGTGCAAACTCTTTTTCTTTAATCTTTATAAAATATATCTTTATTGACACGTGATTATGTACATCAGCATACAAGATTGCAAGTGTGGGTATCTCTGAGTTATATAAAAAGACCATCGATAGAATCTTCAGTTCCTGCAAGCTTTACAATATAAATTCATTGAAATCTTGTCATATGATGATGCAACTAGATATAATGGTAAAAAAAAAAGTTGGAACCTTATGTTGAAAGATTTGCTTAGATTTCCAGCTGGTGCATTCCGTAACTCTCTTCGGATTGGGAAGGTATTAGGAACGGCTCTATTTTTTCCATTATCAATCGTTACTATCGGTATTACAGTAAATATACCTTGATACGCGATCAACCCAATTAACCGACAATACGGATCTAATGCGCTCATCATCCCTGTATGTGGGACTTGCCCAACTCGAAGCTCCATATTTCCTTTTGTTTCAGTAATTAATTGGTGTTGCTTTTCATCATATGAAATGACAAAATATTGTTGCTGGTCTGTAGCTACAAAGAGAAGATCTGTATCACGACCCTATGAATACGATCATTCATTAATGTATAAGTAAACATCGATGTTTGGCAAAATCTATGTCGCGCAGTAGGGGACGACAACACATACCCGTGGTCTATAAATTTGCATCGCAGCAATTCTGCCATAAACAGGAACATCCTTAAAGGATTTTAACCCCCCAGGCACGAGAGTATAGATTTCTATACGTGAAAATTTGCTTCAGAATTGATAAAACACGAACTGAGTAAGAAACTTGCAAATGTAACAAAGATTGATATCTATATTGAGCATTGACTCACTTGAGAACCAAGTTAGTTTCATCGGGTGATGATATGCTGCCTCTTGTCGCAGAGACTACAGAGCTTGGTTTATGGGCTGTTACTACGTAATTATACATTGTAATGAATAATAAAAATTTGAAATTTAAAAAATTTTACTTTCGGTTTCGAAACTCTGATTTATTTATGATTATATAATCACGTGCTAAAATCCTTTTTAATAGGTTGAATTAATCTTGGATAAAAGCAATTTCTATTTCGATAGATGTTAAAGAAACAGAATTTTTTTACTTCAAAAGGTTTAGCAATGCATGAAAAATATCTGATTAATAAAATTTGGGCTGTAATTAAAAATGTTGCTTTATAGGGGTCACAATAAGGTTGCATTAAATGAAGTAGAAGTTTTCTCTCACGTAGAGATTAGGCAGTTTTTGCATGTTATTTTTTAACGTGTTATGACGTAATGTTGAATAAACGAATTTTACATAAATATCATAATTCTTGGGTTAACATTATTTGGCAAAAAAAATAATATTCGGGCCGCAATTAAAATTCTCACAATTCGGGTAAAAATACAATTTCATGAAATGTACTTCCAGTTAAAAATTTTTTAATAAAAGGAGAACTCTTTCCGATGATTACTTGTACTATTTTTTTTCAAAAACCTTTATAAAATACAGTTAGCTATAGCAAGGCTTGGAGATAAAACCAACTACTGTAAGTCATAAGTTAGCATCTATTATTTAGAGATAGTTCTTATACACAGGCTTAGTTATTGTAAATAACAGTACTTATTGTTTAAAAGTAGTTCTTATATACTAATTGCTGACAAGCTTAGAGTTTATTACCTACAGATAGTTTTTTTTTTTTTTAATATTAAAGGTGAGACCATGCTCTTACTGTATCTTTATTAAACTTAATGAAAACTATTACCTACAGATAGTTTTGGAACCTATAAGCTAATAACAAAAGAAGAAAAGATTAAAGCACAAGTAGCAAACTACTTCTAGAAACAATTTAAAGAATATAAATAAAAGTTTAGTGAAATAAGCAAAAAGTGGTAAAAAGAATATGAACCCAAAGAATAAATAAACCAAAAATAGTATTGTATAAAAACACATTAAATTTATTT